ACACTTTTCCTTAACATCACTCTGATCACATACAAACACAAAATTATACTGAAATTCTTTGGAATACTTTCATTATTTCTTTCTCCAGGGATGACATATGTTTCTAATAACTTGCCACTGAGCAAACAGATTTAACAGGGTAGCAGCATGCTGAGAAAGATAGCAGGATTTTCAATTTTCAGATGAAAGAAGCTCTATTCCCTGGCAGCTCTACTCCTAACCCCTTTAGGCCAGATCAAATTTTATCTGAAGCTAGCTGGTGCCTGTCTTCAACTTCAATGGAAGTTCAATCAGCTGGGTTTTTTTACATACCTGCAGTAAACAATTTGAAGCTTATCAACTAGAATTTTTCAAATCAGTATTTTTACCAGAGGGAACCCATAGCAATTAACAGGATTTCTGACTTGGTTATTTACATATGTTTAGCTACCAGATGACCCAATTTTTACCAGAGAATATCATCCATCTAATTCAGCAGACTCACAGACTAGTTTAGATTATCAAAAGGAAAGTGTTATGCAAATTACACAACACTTCCCTGCACCTTCTACCAAACAGATTTTAAAATCCATTATATTAATTTGCACAACAAAAATCTACAGTTCTGTTTCACAAGATCAGGATCAGTTTGCAGTACACATCTTACCTTTTGCTCTACCATTTTCATACAGAAAATAATGTATTTTTCATCTTTAGTGACTTTTGTTCTACATACTAATTTGAAGCTAAACCATCTGACAACCTCCATGGCTCAAAAATGTCTCTTTTATATAAGAAATATAATTATATAATAAGAATATTTCTACATTTCACAGAGCTCTCTGATAAAATGTAGTATTTTGTGTAGTATTTTCAAATAGGGGTTCTTAATTATGGGTCACATCTGATGAGTCTCATCTAGATACCAGGGTGAGGAACCCCTAACAACACTGTAATCACTTGCACTGGAATCCTTGTTACAGTAAGGTTGCTCACACCAGGAAGCTTGCTTTCACACTTGATTTAGTTCAACTGCTTGAAGAGCTAACCCCAACTTCTCTTCACACCTTCATGTAATTTCATTCAGACAGCTGGCTTTTTTTTTCTAAATAACTTTTTAATGTGTGAAAAAAACATAAATTATTTTATCAAGTTGTCTAAGAATATTTTCCTGCTAGAAATAAAGATTTTTTGATTAACTAATGGGAAATACACGAACATACGAAGAAAAAAGACCAAAGCTCTAATACTAGAGGTCTGTCTTTGACAAAGATTCAACAAAAAAAGTACATGAGCAATGCATCTGCTTATATAATGTAAATGGTTGCTGCTACATTTTTGTCCAGCTTTTCTGGGTTTTTTTCTGATAAAAATATTTTCTTTCTGAGGAGTGCTTGGTGGTTTGGATCTGACATTTATTTAAAAGGTTTATAAAGTAAGAATGAAACTATATTTAGCTCCAGAAAGCCATGCTTTTTAATGCATGCAAAGCTGCAGAAGAATCAGAAGTAATCTTAATGAGGAAAACTTTTATCAAATGTAATTCAATCTGTTCCCACCCAAATGGGACTAATTTGTTCAATTATCTATAAAAAATACCAGTTAGACACTTAAACAAAAGCCTCTGAAGCATATCTGTTCAATTAACAACAATGCAAATGCACAATCACTCAGTCATGCCAAGGGCTGCTCCCCTAAGCATCTTCCAATTTTTCATGAAAAGCCCCATCAGTCATCACTAAGGGACCTTTTTCTTGCCCCAGCCTCAGCCAGCAGTGTGAAATAGGTGGTTGGAATAGGGAAGAGGATAGCACCATATTTCTTCTCTTACTGCTAGCAGAACCACTGTTCTGTCAGCAAAGTAAGACTAACACAGCTAACACACACTGATCCTTCTCCTATCCCTGACTATTCCTTCGTGATGAGGAGCTAAGGAGTCTTACTTCAAATGAGGTTCATTGGGAACTAGGGATGCTAGATGCTGATGTGTCAAGGCATACAAGCTGAAGGAGCTCTTCTGGGAAAATAATTCCTCTTTCTTTCTACCTGTACAAGGACTGCAAGATTCAGCTCTGTGACAGAGCTTTAGAAAGTTTTCTTCACTTCCACTGTACTTACAGAGGGTTTGGGAGTACTTGGATTTTCCAAGAAGTATTAGCATTTTGCAGAATCAGCTGCCTCATTAACAATTAGATGGATCTGAATGCATTCATAAATTGAATCTCTAACCCAGAGAGTTAAGGCAGAAAGTGTTTAGCATCAAGTTAATATCTAGGTATGTAAATGCAAACATGCAGAGTGTGTAACAGCATGTATGCAAAATAGGGTCACAGGCTCTGACCTGTGTCCCAAGCAGAAAATGGCCAGATGACAACAGGCTGTATATGCAAAAATGCATCTGCCAAAACTTTTTCATATTTGTTATGATGAGGAATCTGATAAATGTTCAAAACATAGAGAGTAAGAATTTGATGGTATTGTCAGGCCACTGTGACATTTGCCATTCATATGCATTTATAAGAAGAGAAGATCTTGCTAACTTTCATTGTACTGGCCCTGTGAAGTCTCATGATGTTGTAAGGTCAAATTCTGGTATGACAAACTTCAGCAGAGACAAAACTTCGTCTTTAAGAATGTATGTCAAGTACCCATAATACCTAAGGGGGAAAATTCTAAATGTACAAACATAGTTTTATTACACATTTGTTATGCAAATAACATTCACACATCACTTATTCTGAAGTTTAAATATATGAAAGTAGGAAATGAGAAGTTAATAACAAAACCATGAGTCAGTTAGAAACTAACTTTCTCCAAAACTAAATACCAACTTCTTGAAAGCAGGTAAAATAGTTTAAAAATTATTGAAACAATTAATTGTTTTAAATGTAAAATATTTCTTTAATAACAATTGTATTATTCTCATTTTTCCTGTAGAATAAAAGAACATGGACTGCAGAATATTGCTCATGTAACTGGGCCATGCAGTTTGGAACTTAATGGACTTGAGTAAGGTGTTGCAAAACCATCACAGTGTGCACAATATGAAGAATATCATAGAACTTTGTCGATTATATTTATTTCTATAGTCAGCAAAATAGTATCCAACTAGGCTAAAATAAGATCCACCCAGAGCTACAAAACTGCTCCTACCATCATCTCAGTTCTATAGCAGACCAGGGCTTTTGGTCCCCAGTGGGTCAGGGACGTCCCTGCCGGCCCAAGAAGGACGTGCAACAACGGAGTGTGGAACTTGCAGTAACACATCCTGTATAACTTTGCCCTTACTTAGCTCCATATACAAAACAATCTTAAATTACTTAAAATACAGAACTCTGTACCACTCAAGAGTTAGACAAACATTGTAAATCTTGTCTTTTACAAAGGGCAAAAAGAATCAAAGATGTTGGACTCACCCACCACAGTGGCAGGAGAAAGAACAGTGCTTAGAAGTGAATCAACTAATGACTGCTAACATTACAATTAATTTCATTTGGCAAACTGCTTCTATCATTTCAAGCCTCACTATCAGTGACAGGTTCACTTTTTAAAATCAAAGACTGATTTCTTTCATCTCATTGAGTCACAGGAATTGGATGAAATTATCAAGGATGTAGGAAGAGATAAAAAAGTAAAACTGATCTCCCACACTTCTGATTTTTTTGAACTTACATCTGCTTTTGGAATGTAAAATGAATGAGTAAAGGTGGATAGCACACTAATAGCTAAGCATTTAAAGACTTCTAATACATAACCCATTAACACTCACGAAAGATACACACCTTCCCCAGCAGACACACTAACAACATAAATGCAAAATGCTATTAAGACCCAAATGTTAGATGTCCTTGCCTCCAAAAACAGGAGTTGGTTTTCAAGACTTATCTATCTGCATAGATCTGGATGTTCAGACAGTATTAAAACACAAACGGTCTACAATCTAAACGGCAAACCTGAAGACACTTGACAAGGCAAACAGGTGTTTGTCAGGAAACCAAAGTTTTTGATGTAGGTCTTGCAGCACATTCACGCTGGTTGGCCAAGGCCTCAGAACTGCCGTGGAAGGCAGCGGTTGAGCTGCAGGGCAGGACAGCTGGGGAACCCACCACAGTGGCAGCAGCAGAGAAATAACCACATCTTGTGCTCTCCAAGGCCAATATAGCCCTTCTTCACTGATTCTCTAGGAATCACATATTCGAGCATACATGAAGAGCTGCTGACAGGAACCCTATCTTTAATAAATTAACAGCAGTGTGATACTGTCCTATTCCCGAGATTATCTTTCACATGACATTGTTTTATCTCTCCCACTTCAGCTGCACCCTGTTCGCAAAGCAGGGAGCAGCCTGGCAGCACACATCCTGGTGTCTGCACGCCACTGCCAGCTTCTTTAAAGAGAGAAACCTAAACCTCTGGCTCAAAGTATCAGACTGCGATCCTTTAAGGACAAAAAGAAAAGGGACAGAAGAGTGCCACTTCGCATTAAAATCCCCAATAACCAGAAAAACCACAATCAGACCAGCTGATAAGAAGACAAGCCGACGTTTCTCTGGTTTGGAAAAGAAGGAGAGCTGCCTGACACCGAGAGGAGAGGCTCTGGCTCTCCCGGTGTTTACCTTCCCCGGCACCCGGCGAAGCGCCCGGCGGCGGGGACGTTTCTGCACTTCAACAGGCTTGAAGTTACCCCGCAGCCCCCACCGGTGCTTGGCCGCCGCTCCCCGGCCCCGGAGGGTCGGGCGGGGATGTCCGCGCGAACCCTCGGCCGCCGCCAGCCCGCGCCCTCCCCGGCCCCGCCACGGCGGCCCCGCTCACCGTTCTCCGGCCGCCGTCGCGGAGGGCTGGGGGGCGGGGGCAGGGGCAGGGCGGCCGGGCGGGCAGGGGCGGCCCCGCGGCTCGGCCCGCGGCTCGGGCCGGCTCACACGTCAGCCCGCGCCACGAGACCCGGATCTGCCGGCTCCCGGCGGCGGCGGCGGGGCCGGGGCGGCGCCGCGCGGTCCCGCCCCCCACTGCCGGCCCTCCGCCCCGCACGGGAGCCGAGCCCTGCTGCGGGCAGGGGCGGCCGCGGCCCGGGCCGCGCTGTCCGGCAGGACCAGGCGGGCCGCAGTGCCCAACAGCGCGGCGGCCATAAAATAAAGCTCGGTAGGTCAGCGCGGAGAGGACGCGGGGACAGGACTGCTGTAGGGCCAGGTGTGCCTGGGGTCCGCCACAGCCCCCGCGGCCAGGGCTCCGCGCCCCCGGCGCAAACACGGGCGCTTCGGCCGCTTGGCCCCAGCCATCCCCACCGAACTACGAGGCAATTTACAGGCTAGTTTTTCATCTTGAAATTTAAAGCCTGTTCAGGAGCTCGTGACTCACGGGCTTCTAAGCAATTAAAGCATCCATCAAAATAGGTATTTAGATGCTGTGAATGAAGTTAGAAAGGAAAATCAGATTGTGGCTTCTCAGTCACCCGAGGAAAGGGAGTGTCATACTCCCAATACAGAAAGATTAACCATATCCTGTCTTGGAGACACTGATACCATGCAATAATGCAGTGGGGATTATACAGGGAAGAAAATCTTGTTCTCCAATATTTCCAAGGCTGGCTTACCTCCTCCAAGCCAGGAAACAAGGACAGTACTGCAATCAGAGTGAGAAAGGAGAGTTGGATAGAAGTTGCAAATGCTGTCAAGTTGGTACCTCTGACCAGTGGTGCATAGTCTCATGTGACCCACATATGGCTGTTCTCATTGCTATTTGCAGTTGTCATGGGGTTTTCAAGCCTCCTTTCGTGGCAACAGCTTTTTTTTCTGAAAGTTTCTTCCTAAACTTGAGTGTCTAGCCTATGCTACTTTGCCAAGTCTTGGATGCACTGCCAGTTGGCAGCCTTGCATGTCCAGCCATCACTGCTGCACAGAGCCACCTCTCTCTGAAAGATGCAGGCAGACCAACTGTTCCTGGTTAGAGCTGGCCCTGAACATATCCATTCCACTTCTGAGAGTCAGGAGGTGGGCTGCCTTTGTGTAGCAATGCCACACAGTCCTGACTTGCTGCGGGTCTTGCCTCTTCTTTCCCATGTTTTAGTCCTTTCTCTTGTCTTAGCACCCAACTAAGCAGTGGCAATACTGAAAAAGGAGGCAAGGCACTGACACAAAGCCAGGCCATCACACAAAAAAGCTAAACTATGCAGAACTGGTATCATCTTGTTTACCTCCATCCAGGGAACTAAGACTCTGGTAAGGTACTAGGGATGCTAAAACTTACCTTTAATTTGGAAGTATGAAGCCATATTCCTTCAATGTTTCCTGGGAGGACAGGTTTCTTTACAGCCCGTTCAGGAGTTTGGACTGCAACAAGAACTATGAAGATTGACAATCTCAAGGTATGCTTGCCTTGATGTTTACTTTGGCTGTCCTGGCCAAACACTAAGCTAATCTAGACAATGGTGTCAGAGGGTAGTCATAAGAAGAATGATCAACTGTTGGCTGTATCCTTCTTTCCAGCTCTCCCTTAGCCATTCTCCTAACCCTTCACCAGGAACAAGCCACCCTTGAAACAAGCAAAGGCAGCTTCTCAATACCATTAACCAGTCTTACCTGTCTCCCACACCTCATACACAGGGCTAGCCATTGTTCTAGAAAATGGATCTGAGATCCTGAAATCCCCAAACCAGACACAGCTTGCCATTAGTCCTGATTCTAACAAGAGAGGAGAGAAGTGCCAACAGCACAGTAGCAGAGAGGGTTCCTTCTGCCGAGCTGAGGCAGAAATGCCAAACACTTCTATTTTCTTGCTGAACAACTCTTGGACAAGGTCAAACAGCACTTGCTAAAATGATATCAGGCATATTTGGAGGAACCATTGAAACTGATAAGAGAATCTCAGTGATTCATTGTTGGAGAACTGAATTTGAACAATCCTAGAACTGGAAGGGCGAGACTAAGTGAGCTTGACCAGCAGCATGAGATGCCTTGTCAGAAATAATATGAGCCTGCAAAGAGTCTATCCAGGAGAGGCATGAGTTGAGAGTGATGACAACTGTGTGATCTACAAGGAAGCAGTATGCAATGGTGGCACAGCTAGAGCTCAGATGTCTTCCTCACTTTGAATCAAATGCAGCCTCCTCAGACCTCAGTGCATTACATCTTTCTGGCTCATTTCTCACATCACCCCATCCAGGTACTTGCACTATATCTGGTAATGTTTTGAAATTGTGCCTTGAAGAGGTGTGCGAGAAGCACTACCTGGCTGGCCAGCCAGCCCCACTGGGTGAGACAAAAGCTCCCCCTCCCTACTCCCATTTCTTCACCCCATGTTGTATGCTGCAAAGCTCAGCATATCTGAAAATAGTTTTACTTACCTGGTCTCAGTAAAAAGCTGAGGATTTTTCCAGTATCCTGCATTATTTGCACTTCCTTTTGACAGCAAAATAGCAATTTTTTCCGATTATTTTTCTTTATTCAACATATATATGTTTCCATTACCATGTTTGGAAGTATGGGAAGCTGATGGGCCTAATGAAGGATGGATTTGTGAAAGGGTTATCTCATATATGAAACTGCAGAGGATGATCTGTCAAGGAAGAGGGGCAGGCAACAGGAACCACAGAAAGTAGGGACCAGGAGCAAGAGAAACAATGTATAAGCTTATTGCTTTCAAATCAGCAAGAACATACAGGTATGCAGAAAGTAGCTACATATTTTAAATAAAACATTCTGCCAGAGCATCCCTCAGATTTGGCCCTCCTGGTTCCCACGGGCAAATGAACAAGGCATAGCAGGCACTGATTCTATCTCAGCTTCCTACTCCCAGACTTCAGCCATCTGCTCCCCCTTACACTCACAAATTTAGTGCACAATACAGCAGTAAAACAAGATCCTGATATGGAGGCTATCTTCAACTCTCTCCATGAAGTCTCCATTCTGGCAGTCAAACTATGATGAAAACAGTGATGTAGACTACTTTAGGAACAAAGTTGTGAGATGCATTCAAGTAGTAACAGGGATAGAATGGTGAATCTACTGATTTTGGCACACTAAAAGAATTGTGCTGTCCATTGCCAGGCTAAAACTATGAAGACAACTCTGATTAAAGAGCAGAGGGTGGTAATAGTCCTTCTACCAAAACCCTTTATAATGGAGGAGGGTGGAAGTTAGCAAAAGTTACTATATACATTCTCTACATCCATAATCTGAAAGTAGTGTGGGTTGGGCATTTTGTAAGCAACAGGAGGTGTCACATTCCACATCACAGTGCTACCTTTCAACTTTTCTACCTCAGTAGGCAATGGTAAATTAGGAGTTGTGTTGGTGATCTAACTTGCCAAATAATGAATGAGCTTGTTTACAGATACCCAAGAACATTGCTTTTCCCATTCTCAAGTTCTTTTTCTGCTGATGTTATTTTCATCTTTGCTGCATAAGTCATGTCACTAGGCATTGTATTGCTGACATCCAGGTATTCTGTGGAGTGGAACTTGTTCATCTGCAATTCATGCAGTTTCATCAGATCTGAAAAATGACCTAGAAATGGGACAAATCCTCCTAATGTATCTCCTTTTCTGTCTGCTCCCTCTTTTCTTGTATGCAGTTCATAATAAGGAGATAATGCTATTCTAAGGAAATTCTGCTGCAAATTTTGATACCAAAGAGCCATTTGGAAGAGGTCTGCAAAATGGTCTGAAACTGGCACCTAGGAAGTGGAAAGGAAAATATTATTAAATGCCCTTGTAGAATCAAGGTAAGAGAGGCCTTTTGGCAGCAACACTGGGATTTTTGGAAGAGGAAATCCAATTTTGGAAAAAGAAGTCCTTAAAAAAGTTGCCTGCAAACATTCCTAGAATTCAGCTAGACTGGCATCTCACAAAGCTCTGGAGAGTTGAAAAGCCCTTTAGGCAGCAAGCCTGAGAATTGGCTGGCACAAAGACTACATTGTGTACTTATATTAATTTTACTGATATTTGCTCATGTAATCACCACTGAACCAAATGTATACTGCCAGGGTTTCTGTCAATGTGCAGATCTAAACTTAACAAACACTCAACTGCAATTGTCAGAACTCACAGTAAAAATATGGCTCAGTGGAAACAAGAAACTCCAGTGAAACTGTCAGAGGATCTGTGGAGGATCGTTTGAGCTCCTGAAGCACCAACACACCAACACAGACTTTTGGGATCAATTAGCCACAGTCTAGGGAAAATGACCGCAAAGGATTGCTGCAGTGCTGCCAGACCACAGCTGCCCAGTGAAGTTTTCCAAACTATGAAATGGATGAAGGAAATCTGAAGGTGAGGGGATGACAAGGATTATTTTACACTTAACTAGAATAATGACTAGTAATTTAGAATAACTATGAAATGCAAGCAAGCCAGTTGGGATGCTTATAAGGTCAGGCTTGCAAAAAGCAATTTAAAAATAGAGGATTAACTCCTGAGCTACTAAATTGTTAATGATAACACTCACTGGTAAAGATACACCATCTGAATTAGGCTGAAATGATTCTGTAGTATTAGAATAGTATGTTATCAGTAACCACATAAATTAATAGTCCACTAAATTTCATTGATAATTATCCAATCAGTATTGGGAACATTATTTTCCAATAGCTTAGGCCAGTCCCCTCTAAAAATGTGGTCTAAGTGAACCAACACTGCTATAACCTTAAAAAATTGTTTTTCCTCTGGAACAGAAATCATAATAGCAGCTGTTCAACTGTGGTGGCTTTCTTGCAAAGAAAAGATGAGAAACAGAGTGAACTGCTTCATAAGCAACTGTAGTTCACATAAGCTATCTGCAGCCATAAATTTACCAGCAGCTAACGTTGCTATATTCATCTGAAAACTGCTGCCACTTGGGAAAAACACATCTCATGTCACCCTCTATGTTCAGAGCCATTTCAGCATTTAGTCTCAAAATGCCTCTGAACATGAGTCAGAGCCCTCAACTGTTACAGTGCTCACAGACTTGAAATAAAAATGAATCCCTCTTCATTTCCAAGTGAATGCCTCGTAGAAGAAGCCGTATCTGATAGACAAACCACAAGCTAAAATGCAAGCAAGCAGATTTGATATTAGGTGCAGAAGTGAGAAGAGAAAATGAAAACAAGATACTAAAAGATTTTTAAAACACTTTACTAGATATAACTAAGAAGCAGCAATGAATTGAAATTTTCTGGTCATGAACTGAAAATTACTCTGATCTGAAATTGATATATGCAGTTTGCAGTTAGTATTAAGCACTTGGTATATGTTGAAATTTAAGAGTACTATCCATTAAAAAGCCAAGCATTATTTACTAATAAAAAAAGATATGGCAAGAAGAGAAGACATTTCATGTCTTCCTGAGGAGGTGTATCAAAAGGCATAACTCTGTCAGTCAGCACTTGAAGATCAGTATTCTATCACATAAAATGTGGCAGCATCTCTGTATGGACTACAGAGAACTAAATCACATTGTTGAAAAAAAATCTGATCATAGTAAGTGATACTCTGGTTTTTGTAGCACATTCAAACATGCATTTTACTTTGGTTATTAGAACATGAGTATTGACAAGTGTACAAGAAATGACTGCTCTCTCAACTGGGCAAGATCCCTATAGACATAATGCAAGGTTTTTAACTTGTGCACATTTGCTTTTGAGCAAATTTTGTTTGATGGTGTGGTATGATGCAGCTGGATGTTTGCTGTAGGATGTCCCACCTTTTGAAGAGGAGCTGTAAACCCTACAAGTGGTTTAGTGCAAGAAAGAAAATTTGACTTTACAGAACTTGACAACACTGTCTGGTCAGGAAAAAAAGAATTCTTCTGTAGTATACTCTCAGCAAGTTTGTTGACAACACCAAGCTGAGTGGTGCAAACAAGACACTGGAGGGAGGTGGGTCTGTGTGAAGTTCAACAAGGCCAAGTGCAAGGTCCTGCACCTGGGTTAAGGCAAGCCCAAGGACAAATGCAGGCTGTGAGGGAGAATGGATTGAGAGCAGCCCTGCTGAGGAGGACCTGGAAGTGCTGGTGGATGAGAGGCTGGCCATGATCCAGCAATGTGCACTTGCAGCCCAGAAAGCCAGTTGTATGCTGGGCTGCATCAAAAGCGTGGTCTGTAGGTCAAGGGACACGATTCATCCCCTCTGCTGTGCTCCTGTGAGACCCACCTGGAGTGCTGCATCCAGCTTTGGGTCCCACAACATAAGAAGGACATGGATCTCCTGGAATGAGCCCACAGGAGAGCCACAAAGATGATCAGAAGGATGGAGCCCCTCTCCTGTAAGGAACAGCTGAGAGCTGAGGCTCTGGGAGACTTTAATGTGTCCTTCAGTACCTAAAAGGGTGCAAGAAGGCTGGAGAGACTTTTAACAATGGGTTTATTAGGATGAAATTTCTTACTGTGAGGGTGGTGAGGCACTGGAACAGGTTGTCCACGGAAGTTGTGGCTGCCACATCCATGGAAGTACTCAAGGCCAGGTTGAATAGGGCCCTGAGTAACCTGGTCTAGTGGAAGGTGTCACCCATGGCAGGGGGTTGAAAGTAGGTGGTCTTTAAGGTACTTTCCAACCCAAACCATTATAAAATTCAATTCAACTCATACTTCACAGTTCAGAGATTTTGCAAAAACACCACATGAATTGAGGGAAACGTTTTGGGTGTTTGAAAGTATGAATTTACATTTTTGGTGTTTAAATGGGTTCTTGTGGTTACCTTTTGTTGAGCTACTGAGGTAATCATTAGACGTAGATGACGTCTCTAAAACTGAAGATAATTACTGAAAAAAAAGGATGGAAAGATTGGAAGCTGAAGCTGTATTATAGCAGAAGCCCAACTCCTTTGTAGAGAAAATACTGAGGTAAGCCAGTCCTTTCACAATGGTGCCCAGTGACAGGACAAGAGCTAAACAAGAGCTAACACTTCTTTTTTCTGATGCTAACTGAACATTGGTAGTGGTTGCCCAGAAGGGCTGTGCTATCTCATATCCATGGAGATATTCAAATGGACATGGTCCTGGCAAGGCAACTTGCTCTGGCTGACCCCGCTTTGACAGGAAGGGTGGTCTAGGTGATCTGAAGAGGTCCCTTCCAACCTTGACCCTGCTGTGATTCTGTGATACTGTGCCACTCAAGAGGGAAGCCAGGAGTAGATATACCTGCAAAGCACTTTCACTGCAATTTCTGTGGGAGTAAAATTATTTGGAATAAGTGATATTAAGATACAGGGATAGTATGGCACCTATAAATAAGTCTGCTAGGAGAGTTAATACCTTTTATATCTGCTCTGTGTTTGGGGAAGGGACCAACAGTGTAATATTACAATATTCCTAGGACAAATGATGCCTTAAGTTTTAGCTTCTGTATTTTTCAGATTCTGTGCTGCTTTAGGGTGTAACTCTGAGCTTTATATAAAGTGTTAGCAAGTTCTCTTCACAAGGTAGGTAGACAAAACAATCCTTTTCCAGCTTGTCCAAGGACAGCTGTTACCAGTTCCAGGCCCAAAAAGTGTAAACAAAGGTGGACTGAAGAGAGAAAATAAGGAGGATGAACTTCATAACCTAAAGCTATAATTGAACAATTAACTCCAATATGCAAATGGACCAGAACTTATAAAAGTGAGAGACCCTGTGACCAGTCGTCCATTTTTGTGACAATTTTGGGTTCATCTTGGCTGTAGCCCTGGCTGGGCTCTTACACTGCCCAAGGTGTATCCATTAAGGCCTTTTAGTAAATCCCTACTTTATTCCTTTAACTCTGTCTAGCTTCTGTTCTAGGTCAGCCTTCTCAAGGCATCACTAAGGGTTAGAATCTTCAAAATCAAGAAGCAATCACACAGCATGACTGAATACTTCCCAGTACGACTGAGCCCTGTTTGGGGAAACAAAGATACAGTCCAGAATACTGCCTTTAAAAGCTGGTTCCAATTCACCATGTGATCTTTTTGCACTGTCAGAAAGATGGGAAAGCTGTAACATGGAATTTTATGAGATGGATTATTCTTCAATGAAACTGCTATAATTGCTACCCTTTGTTTGAGAAAATGTTCAAGAAAAGAAACTCCTTACATCTAAACTAGATCTTCCACCTAAACAAAGGCATATGCTATTACTGAAAAGACAGACACACAGAATAGTAGGCATTTTCTAGATACTGCTTTGTGAAACATTGCATGCCTGGCAGAAATCCACAGACCAGAAAAATGGCTTGTATCTGCTGTGTTCAGGGAAACTGTGCATTACTCAGTACAGGACACTATTTCAGCTTTGTTTGTTTAACCTGACTTTATCCTCAGTGTTCTCTAATAAATTGCCAGGTGCAGTGTTCTTGCTAGCCATGTGGACAAACTGAAGACAATCAGGTTAGGAAAACAACAAAGATCAGATTGTCCTGCCTTCTATTCTTGAATTGGTCCTTACTGGTTTCTGGGATTTGCAATCCTATTCAATTAACTTTTTTACAGAACTGTGGTGCAAACACTGACTAGTGATTTAGACTTAAGGCTTTAATTCTAAATTATTATTCTATTGTAGTAAGATTAATAGAAAAATTTGGGGTTTTTTTCCTAGTACAAAATTGTTCTAGTCTCCAAAATGCAGCTATTTTAGGATGGTATCTACAACAACAGAGCCTGATAAATTACCCATCTGTCAGAGCTGAGCTTTTTCTAGATGATCTCTGACAAACTTCACTATTTTGTAAATTTTTGTTGTAGACAGTTCCAAAAGGCTTCCATCAGTTGTGGATTTGGTGCCCATGATAACAGATTATACTGTAGTTTAGCAAAATGGCCATCATAAGAGTAGGTTCAAATTCTAGATACAATTTTCAAAAAACCTCAGAATCAAAAATTGCTGGATCAAGCAATAATAACTGAATTCAAGAGCTCCAGATTGTTCTTTTATTATTAGCCCTACCTTTCACGATCCCTAAAAAGCCCTGTGCTTTACAAAACAGAGAGACCATTGGAGGAATTCTTAACAATTTATATGCAAAGTATACTGGAGTCTGTTGTCTCTGTGGCTTGGCTTGTAGTTTTCTGATTTTACTGTGCATATTCTTGTACTATACTCTGGTTATTCACACATCTTTAATGCATATTCTCTTATAGCTGGAAACTTTTTTGAGGTGGGACCACCTCATAAAACCATTCATAAGACTATTGCCAGCAGGAGCATGGTACACTCTGCAGCCTGTGCTGATGGCTCTGTGTCTCAAGTTATGTACATAGGAGGAAAGGTGTCCACTCTCATCCTTTTCTCTTGAGAGGACACAGCAGTGATGCAGATCAGTTTGCAACATAAACTCCCTGAGCAAGTGTTGCCTGCTCAAAGGAAAATACAGATAGCCAGGTGGAACCATCCCAGAGACACAAATTTTAATATATATATATATATGCTGGCAGTTGAACCTCTTTATACAGTGAGCTTCCCAGCACTCAGCTTATCTACATTGTCAGGACTATGAAAATATTTTAGCAGTAAAGACCACTACCAAAGAAAGTGGGTTTATTTCTGGATTCCCATATTCATTCAATTACTGCTTCACAATTTTTTGCTGCTCCAGTTCTAATTCCAAACTCAAATCTCCTAATGAGAGACTCTAACTCCACCCCCCAAACAATCACTTCAAAATACCAATGCCATTTTATCTTCTCTCTTCCTTACTTGCTGCATTTAGGCACTTCCCTGGCTACCACTACACTAAACAATAAATTTAAGCTTCTAGCTAAAAGGTCAGATATACTTCAGTCCTGATGACTTTTATAAGTGGAGGCTTTACTGAGTATCAGTCTGAATCTGATTTTAGCCCCTATAGTCATTAAAATAGCAGCAAATATTATTCAGTCACAAATCCTACCATGAGGAGAAGATAATGTCCAGCTGGCCTTTTAAGGCAGCTCTAACTCCCTTTTGTACCTTTCTGTGAAAGAAAGATCACAATATTTAATTAAATAGAGTTACACAGATTTGATAACATACTGTAAATTATTACATTAGTAGATGATAACACAAAATACTTACAATGGTACAAATTCTTCACTCAAGGTAGTAAACATTTTTTGAGTGGACAACAATATACCAGCAACATAGCATGGTCACTAAGTTCTTTATAAGACTGGTTAAATCTTCTCTTCCCTTATAACTCTAATATTCATAAAACTACTAATAAAGCCATGTCAGGTTGTGAAATCTATTTCTGTATTCACAGCTTACTTTCATTTTGAAAGGATCCTCAGAAAGACTGCTATCTTCTTTTTGTAATAGGAAGAAAGGAGCACACTTTATAAGAAGTGCTTCTATTTCCCTGTAATCAACTTGTCAGTCTTTGACTGCCAAATTTTCAAGGTAGATGCCTGATCATTAAGAATATTAATCAACTTGGGAGCTCCTGCAAAATTACAAGAACTGTTTCACAGCTGAACCTAATTCCCCCTCCCCCCTCTTTTTTTTTGCTTCTTCGTGAAGCCACAAGAATTGGCCCATGGACCTCAAGGTGTATGTACTGTCAGTTGAAAATCACTCCTCCACAAAAAAGTGGAAACTTAAAACACCAGTAATTTTGCTCACAGACTCAAAAGCATTGGGTGTTTTTGTATCTAGGTTTTCCTACTACAAACATCATGTTCAGATATAACATTAATTTAGAAGATATTGGCAGACCAATATCAAATTAATGAAAAGTCCAGGGTGTCTTGTCAATTTCTAATAACAGCCCTTAACAAGTGAAGGACAATAGGGTGTTATTAAACTACAAAAAAATTCTGCCCATTCATTATTTAATGAAAATTTTGCTATGCTATAGATTGATGTCTGATGCAAATCCACTAATTCAGATGAATTGCATTGTATGAATTCAACCTGAGTGACTTCACATCACTCTAATATTTAGTTAGAACCCTTATTGCCTTTTAGTGCATATACATTTTACCTGCTAACAACATGAAAAGTATCATTTGGTAAGCGCAGGCATCTCGAGTGAATACCTCCCCTCTCTTCCTGAACACCGAACAATTTCTATTCTACTGGTTTTGCCATTTCTGCCTACAGACCTCCTACAAGTTCTCTATAAATACTTTTACAGGTACGGCCGGACAAAGGAAAGCTCCCAACAGAAGGACCCGTCTCAGGCGAGCAGGGCAAGCTGCCCTGTTCCACCCAGGAGAGGGCACTCTTACACCTGGCCACGCAACCGGACATGGACACCCACGGGAGGAACAGGAAAGTTCAGATGACATCTTAAAACTCGGTCAACTTGCACGACCAGTTCGTTATTTTTATGATAGTGCTAATCACAGGTAAGGTGAATCATCCAGACGCTGCCACAACAGGAACGCAATATGACAGGCAATAAACGTGTGGGCTAAATTTCTTCTTAGTCTCTGAAATGTGCTGAATGATATGCAGATAAAAAAGACAATTTCTGCATTTCTCTGGTAAAAGCTGGGATCATAGAAAGACAGCTGTAAGTGTACCTTCCGTGGAAAACGAAGGTTAAATTTAAAAATATCCTAGTTGTATGAATATTAATTGTTGCCTTTTTTAAAAATAAAGCACTATTATAAATGAGCATACAAATATTTAAATGCAAAGTGCATATAATCTAGTACTAACACAGCCTGTAAAGTTAATCTTTATATGGATATCTGAAATATATAAAATAAGAATTTCAAATGCTACAGGTTCAACCTCTGTTTCTAAAGGGGTTGAAATCAATATACATATCTCTTGAGACAGCTTTCCTCTCCAATAAGTAATCCTCCAGCAACAAAGAGAGAAGATCAAGCCTGACATTTTTGATTTTTCTAAACTAAAGAAGCCAAGATGAAGAGGTGGTAGTTTTGTTATGCAAGACATAAAACAGCAAAAGAGAAATAGAATGCTGCATCCTGCAAAGTTAATGTTTCAAAAATCTCATTTTCCTCAAATCACAGGGGACTATCTCAATAATTCCAAATTTTCTCTGAGTAATTATACTATAGAAATGTCCTATTGATATGAAAAGAATAAAATTAAGAAAATATGGAAATGAGAAAAAGATCACCAAGAATCTTAACTTGAAGAACAGAAAGCACTTGGTTCTGTCAGAAGCATCTTGGAGTCCCCAGGCAGTGCACTGGGGCTGGGGGCATCCATAGCCAGAGAGAAGAGCCATGCAACTTTTCCATGAAAATGGAAATTTCTCTTTCCTATATAAAGGAAACTGTGGCATGAGCCACAGCCACTTTTCCATGAAAATGGAAATTACTCTTTCCTGTATATAGGTTACATGATAGACAGCACTTCCCACATTACATGGGAAATGACAGTGTTCAGGATGTTTGCTTGTCCCAGCATTGGCTAATGAATATTGTTAGCCTGTCCTGCAATAACCTTACATAGTTTGAACCTCAACTATATCTCCTTCTCCCACTTCCAGAAGTCTTTCAAAACAACATGCCAGTCATAATAAACAATGCATAGATACTCAGAATTGTATCTCACTCTATTAGTTGTGATCAACACCAACGGGCAAAAGCATAAACCAATCTGCAGCCAGTTTGTAAAAGCTGCTATTGAAAGAGTTGTTCAGTATGAGACTAAAATGGCGATAGGGTCAATAAAGAACTGTCTCCTGAAATCATATATACTACAAATATTTTTAATTCCAAAAAATAGCTATGTCCAATGCACTACAGTTGTACATATTGTGTATGGATTTTTCTAAGGGCAAAATACTAATGAGAACTTAATTCAGGGCTTTATTATCAACATACCATAAAATATATTAGGGAGTCAGACATGGAAGTCCCTGAAATCACACAAAGAGGCTATGTTCTCAATTTTTTTTCTAGGCATTATCTTTTTTAACAAAGCAAAAATAAAATAACAAACAAACAAAAACCCAACTCCCCCCAAAAATCCAAACCAAACCCCAAAACATGTATTCAAAGTCTATGGTCCTGTTCTACCCTAAACCCCTGTAGAACCTTCTGTAAAATAGTAAATTATAATAAAGTATAAAACAGTATTGGAGGTACAAAGTGATACTTCCAGCATGCTGATTATGTAAGGTACTGATTTTTACACAAATTTTGATCCTGGCAAAACTGACCACTGCTCTGTCCTACCATCCAAAAAGCCTTTCTATATCTGTCTTTCAGCAAAGAGAAAATTAACACAGTATTATGGTGAATATCAAACAGTTGTGAGGTAAGTGAAAAATGCCTGCTTAAGGACAAGGGAAAGGAATGGGACATAATAAGGAAAAGAGATACAGTAATTCATATTAATTTCATTTTTGCAGCAGCAGACTCTGACATTTGTAATCCAAATGAGCACATGAAAATGAACCTAGGTACAAACCAGACAAAATCATTGCCCTTTACTATGGCTGTTACTGGATGTTCACTACCTATAACATAAAAGCATATTCACAGGAACACAAAGGACTTTGACACTTAATAAAGGTCATGTTTTCCACTCCATTCAGAGCAAAATCTGAATATTGGAAGCTTAGCTTCTTTCTGTGAGCTGTCTGAAAAGACATGAAGGATTTAACCAGGAGATTTTATGTACCACCTTTATTATTTTTGTCTATAGTAGTCATAGTTGCTCAGCACACTACAAACCTAACTTTCATCTAAGAGGCAAAAAAGCATTATCATCCTTTCTCTATTGGTGACAGAAAAGCCATGGCCTACCTCCTCGAAAAGAATTTGAGACATATCAGTGGAACTCAGATGTCTAAATTATTCTGAAAATGAAAGTACAAGATCCCACTATTAAGTCATTAAAAAGAAACCAGGCCTACTGCAAAACGGTCCTTTCCATAAAGGTATTGAAAATCTCAGCTGAAAAACTGGATTGTATAAAACATTTTAAAGTTTTCATCTGAAAAGAAAAATTTATGAAGAGATGCACATGCAGCAACATTTTTACAGAAAAATGAACTTTTCCCAGTCAAACTACATAGGAAGAGTGAACACATTAAAGGGACTACATGCATCTGTATATAGTTGACAGATTTTTTAAAAAAAATATTTTTTTGTTGCTTGTATTTTCTTTATAGTGTAGATAGTAGTTAAAATGCTGTCTATACTAATGGAGGTGAATGAATGGCACTTGCAGATAACAGCCCTACCAGAAGTTGACATTTGTTGAGATAAATGTGTGTTGTACGTTGTCCTGCACTGCACCGTTAAAAGGGGGCCCTATAAAGTGTTCCTGTAAACCTTAATGTCTTGAAAGCCTCTAGTTCCTGAATAAACAGTTCAAAATCCAATCTCATGTTCTCCTCTGAAGATCTACGCTCTTCGATCCCATACCTTATTTTATACACCTCAGGTTAGAAGTTATGGTTGCTGTTTCCCTATTTCAGATTTCAGAACAGAAGCAGCATCGTGGGTGCCCACGTTTGCCTCTGCAATAAAATGTCCATTACACAGGGCTGACCTTTGCCTTTTACTCTACTTTTAAAACATTGTAGCAGAATCTGTGTAAAGCAGCAGTTCCTTTCACTGTCCCCATTAAGTAACCTGTTTATGGGCCTGCAAGTTCTCCTGGTCCCGTTTGAGGAGACTCCAGCGTCTCCAGGGGGAGGGGGGAAGAGGACGAGGAGCAGGTCTGGGGGAGAGACGTGGAAGGAATAACATTTTTCTCTGCCGAGCATAATGGGGAAAAAATAGATGAGAACCGCTGTTATGGGCCCGGGTGAGCAGATTCTCAAGCTACGTGGGAGCCCCCTAGTTCTTTTTGCTGGGGGCTTCAGCAGCAGACATACCAGCTGCTCCTTGAGCCAGCTGTTTCCTCCGCGACACCTCAGCCACTTCTCCGCTGCCGCGGACCGGGCCCGGCCCTCCCAAGGGCGCTCCTTCAGCCGTTCGCCGGCCCGCAGCCTCAGGGCTCACCCCGCTGCCGGTGCAGGGCCGGGCGGGAGCCATGACGACACAACGGCCTCAGCTGTGCCCCGAGGCCCGCCCGCGGCGGGGTTGTGCCTGAGGGGTGCCTCCTCACGCTCTCGACACGGGCCCGCCCGGCCCGTGACAGGGCGAGCGGCTCGGGCAGGTGTCTCCCGGGACGGGCGGGTGGGCGGCCGGCGGGGAGAGCCCCTGCGCCTCCACAGGTGGGCAGCGCACCCTTCCTTCGGGGTCAGCGGGGAGGCGGCGGCCCAGAGCCCACTCGCCGCAGTCGCCCCACCGGCAGTGTCCAGCCACGGCCCCCCCGGCCCCACCGCCGCCCCGGTGCCGCTCCGGCCGCGCTGCCGCGGCCCCTCCTGAGGAGCGGCAGCGGCCCTTTCGCGCATGCTCGGCGCGGGCGCCATTTTGGTAGGGCCGGGAGTTCTCCAGCGGAGCGGCGGCGGAGCTCGCTGGGCCCGGCGCGGAGGGGGCGAGGGGTGCCCGCTGCGGAGATGGCCAACATCGCGGTGCAGAGGATCAAGCGGGAGTTCAAGGAGGTGCTGAAGAGCGAAGAGGTCAGAGCCTCTCCCCCCACCCCCTGCGCGTCCGCCACCACCACCCTCCCCCGTGTGAGCGTGGGTAGCAGTGGACGGTGCGGGTGCCCCGCCGGCCTTCGTGGGGACCCCGCACCCCCTCGGCCCCACCTCCCCGTGCTGGAGGTGGGCCCGTCCCACGGCATCTGGGAGGGGAATGGCGATTCCTGGGGAGACGGGGCCCGCCAGCCGTTGGGAGGAGGAGGAGGGGGCCGCAGGAAGCGCGGCGGCAGGGCCCGAAGAGGCCGGGCGGGCCGGCCCCCGGCCAGGGCTGCCGGCGGTCGGTGCTCGGGAGCGCCGCCAGGCCGGAGGCCACGGAGCGGAGCGGGTGGGGCCGGCCCGGCCTCCGCGGGGACCCCCGGCACGCGCCCTCCCGCGTCCGCCCGCGCGGCACCGGCAGGGATGGATGCATGGATGGATGGATGGATGCATGGAGCGGACTGGGGAGGGTGAGCCGGGGTACGTGATCCCACACATCCCCTTCGGCTGACCCCTTCGGCTCGCCTGGGCCAGAGGCTGCAGGGTAGGGGTTTAATGTTTGGGGTTTTTTAGCGGTTGCTATTAAACCTCCATTTAGCTTCCCTGTATACAGAACTTCCTTTATCCCACTGCAGGCTTACTCACCTTCAGAAGGATGCTTTTAAAGCCTCACTCATTTCAGTCATGTTACCTCGTTTCCCAATCAGTGTGTTCAGAGGTATGTGGTGGTCAGTAAGAGATGCTGACTACTTTGAGGGCAGCAGTAAAGAAGTTCTGACCAGTTTGGGGGAAGAAATAGCAGTGTTTGCAGGCTTGCATCAATACAGCTTTTGCTGTGTCTGTGTCTGAGTTGGTGGACGTCAGCCAGATAGGTTTTAATGGTTGTGTCGTCATTGTCGTCCTACTTGGGATGATGTTGCAGGTTAGATCCTTGTGAAATATTAATGTGAATATGTAACTCTTGAGGCTGGTGTTTCAGAAATCTGGACATATTCACAGAGAAAAAATGAGAGGATAATTTTTGAAAGGTACTAATGGCTTTAGGAAAACACGTTTAGGGTAGCAGTAGCTGATGTACTTTTAAATTGTATGCTAAAAACATTGTTGCTATGCATCTTGAACTAGCCCCTAGAAAAATGTACGTGCCTTGTTTTACAGCTGCCTTTAGAGCCCAGGCTGACTTTGCCAAGCTATTGCACAGCAAACACAGAATTGCATGGAGACCAAGAGAAATTTCTAGGTGGATACCTTTATGCCAATGCTAGAGAATGTAGACCTCATACCCTGTATAACCAGCTGATACTGTGAACAAAGAAGTCTGTTTGGATGTGCTTTCTAAAGGCTTCAAAACCCTTTCCCTTTGCTTTATGTAGAGAAAATAAAAGAAACCTGAACTTACATAGGTTTTGGGGAGGTGAATGGTAAATTTTCTTACTGTAAAGGTTGGATCTAGTGTGCTTATTTTTGATTATTTCTGTTTGTTTAGTCTTTAGGACGCAGTTACAGAATTTTGAAAATGGATATTATTTTAAAATAGCCTTTGAGCTGCCTAAAGCTATTCAGAAAAAAGATCATAATTCTTATGAAATTCAATTAATGGAATTTCAAAATCATAGTACAGCAGACTCTTGGTATTTCTTTTTTTCTGCCATTAGCAAGCTATATAAGTGTCATGATGCATTAGTATGTATAAAATTGCTGTTTACCAACTATACTGACTCCCATGTCTTGAATGCAAAATTTCAGCATTACTCAATGGTTATCAAAGTTGCAAGCAAAGTTTTTTTGTGAATGTTTGTACATTCCAGTGCAGTCAAACTATGGTGTCATTATCACTGGGTGTGAAAACATGTGGAGTGGGATGATGAATGAAGGTCCAATTAAATACTACAAATCACAAAACAAAAAGGAGTTTTCTTACTATTTACTAAAATTATTATTAAACGTAGTTTCTTTAAAAAGAAATAAATCTTTTTAATGAATGGCAATGTAAAATTTGTTGTTTAGAGGTTTGTAAGTCCCTCTCTGAAAGCAAAGTGGCTCACATGATCTGTTCTTAAATTATTCCTGATTTAATGCTTCAAACTACTTGAAGAGCAGCCCCTCCTCCCCTTTTCCTTGTAGATGTAATAGGAGCACAAATGCCTGGGAAGGGGGTAGGCACACAGGGAGAAAAGTACATAGGAAGTTTGTTCTCTGTCTTCTTCCACTACTCACCTTTATGCTGAAATAGAGTGGTGGAACTAGAAATGTTTTTAAATGGAGCAGCTGGATGACAGTTAATTCCTTCTGCATTTGAAGAAGTGTTGGAAGTGCTAAACTCACTGTAAAGTGTGTTTATCCTTGCTGTGGATAAGGATCTAGGAATCCTTGCCACTCAGGACTAAATAGACTTTTCATGTTACTTAGCACTTCCTTTTTCCTTGAATGCAATTTCTGGGATATAACTAAAATGTGAAATACAACCTTGCTGTCTGGTTTACAAGTAAGAGATGAAGGATCTTCCATATTTTTGAGTCTGGGACTTCTTGAGTGTTTTGTAAAAGTATTTAAGGTCTTTTTACACTTGAGGAAAAGTGCTTCTGCTCTGCTTGCTTTATTATTTGTAGTTTTGTTATAAACACACTTTATGTTAAGAAGTAGGGTATTGTTTATATAAGAGGGATACCTGTAACTTTGCATCTCTTAATATTTGAATCAAATAGATAAAAATAATCAAAGTTTCTGTCAGAAGTGCTCTCTAATGTATGATTTTTAAACTTCTTTTGTGTGTGGAGAAAGCTTTACTGTTCTAAGGTAGGTGAGGTATTGTGCATCTGTAGCAAGGATAAAGTTGTTAAGTTCATCTAGGTAGTAACTTTACTGGTTAAATATGTGTAGGCAAGGGATCAGATGTTTCAGTTCATTTCTCTCCTTGTTCTGTAATTTCATAAATCTGTTTTCTTGTTGGTTTTATGGGCTGAAATTATAAAGCTACAAAATGCATGTTGAACAAAAGTATGAAGCTGCAGCATGATGGAGAAACCAATGAAGAGGTGGAAGGAGAATAGTATCCTGCTTTACTAAGTAGGAGAAAGTTTTAGTGAAGGTTAGCTGTGTTATTTTTAGATTAAGTTACTGGAATGCTGCATTGGGTAGCCAAATCCTTACCTGCTCTCTGTTTACTAGTAGCTATCTTATGAGAGGGAGAACTTGCCTGGCATTTAATAATGAATAGAAACATGAAAGATCTTGTGGTCATTTAAAGACTGATGCTGAGACGTGTTGTAATTGATCAGGTATGTTAAACATTATGTGTAACTTGTTTTTTGTGATTTAATAAAGCATCAGTGTTTACTTGGAAGAAATTAGGCTGTGCTAGCAGTGGAGGATTCAATGTTTAATTTGCCATCCAAATTCTTTTATCATGTGGAAATGTAAGGTGTTTTCTATTAATTGATAACTTTTGCAGTGAAAACTCTAATCTGGTATTGAAGGTAACACTTTGGGAAACATAGCTTCCTTCTAGCAAGAGGAGAATTGCTGGTGTGTCTACCATGAAGTGTTCTTCTCTTACAAATGTGAAGAGACATTTATGGCAGGTAAATCCAGGTAGAGCTGCAAGTAAATGTAACTCAGCTGCAATTATGGAGTGTGAGTATCTTCATGAACAGTTATGAAGTAGCAGTGTAAATTTGCAACTTGCTTGAACTCAAAACAGCGTTCAAGCAAAGATAGTGGGTTAACAACAAAAACTTCAAGAACTTGATTTCCAAGAAGGAAATGAGTGCTTGTTTTGGAGTCTATGTGTTTCAGTGATTTGCAGGCAAAAAGGA